AAACATGGGAATGAAGATATCTCTTCAACATACTCATTTCCTTCCCACAGGATTTATCCTTTGTAGGAAAATTGCAGAATCAGATAGTTCTATCTTTAGATGTTTGAGGAAACTCCCTACTGTTCCCCACAATGATTGTATTAATATACATTCCACCAACAATATGCAAGAGTTCCTCTTTCTCCCCATCCTCACCAGAATTTTTGTATATATTTGATAATAGTCACTCTGACTGGGATTAGATGGTTTCATTGCAGGTTTCTTTTAAATTATTTTCTTTAGTTGTCAATAGGCCTTTATTTTATTTATTTATATGTGGTTCTGAGATTCAGACCAGGACCTCACACATGCCAGAAGATAATACATGGGTGTTGCTTTAGGGCGCTTACTATGTGGTGATTTCTTTTGCATCACTGCCAAGGCAAGATGCACATTCTATCTCTCCAATTATTTAGGTCTTCTTTGTTATTTTTTTAGAATTTTTTAAGAGAGAGAGAGAGAGAGAGAAAGAGAGAGAATTTTTTAGTTTTCAGCAGACACAACATCTTTTGTTTGTATGTGGTGCTGAGGATCGAACCCAGGCCACATGCATGCCAGGCGAGCACGCTACCGCTTGAGCCACATCCCCAGCCCTTCTTTGTTATTTTTAATGCATGCTGAATTGTACATATTTATGGTATGTGGGGTGCTATATTTATAAGCCTATAAATAAACATAATGTGTAATGATTTATTTGGGGTGATTAGCATTTCATCATCTCAAACATTTATGATTTATTTGCATTGGAAATACTTGAAATCATATTTTTCAGCTTTTTTCAAATCCACCATAAATTACTGTTACCTTTAGTCGCCCTACTGTATTATAGAAGATGAGAGCCTTTTCTGCCTAACTGTATTTTTGCACCTAATCACACACTTCTTTCTATTCTCCCTCCCTCTTTCCATTCCCAAACTCTGGTAACCACTATTCTACTGTCAACTTCAATGAAGTCAATTTTCTTAGGTTCCACTTAGGAGTTAGAAGATATGGGACTTTTGTTTCTGTGCCCAGTTTCTTTCACTTAACATAATCTATATGGATCTATTTATCCATATTACTGAAAATGACAGGATTTCTTTCATTGTCAGGGCTCTGTAACTTTAAAATGTGTAAATATACCACATTTCATTATCCATTCATCTGTAAATGGACACTCAGGTTGAGTCCATATCTTAGCTATCGTGAAAATCCTGAAACAAACATGGGAATGCAGATATCTCTTCACCATACTCATTTCTTTCCACAGGATTTATCCTAGGCAGGAGAATTGCAGGATAAGAGGACAGCAATGTCTCCTGCTTGTGAATCTACGAGGGTACTGAATGAGCCTGTAGGAGGGAAGCAATGAAATAAATCCTCTAATTTGAGGTCTGGGCTCTGCAGAAAGGACATGGGGGAGAATCCTTATGTTTAGGAGAATGAGACTCAAGGGACAGCATTGATAGAATAAAAATAATCTTCAGATAAATAAACAGATGGCAGGAATGGGAAAACATGGCTGCAGGAAGGGAGTAAGCCAGCAGATCTCACCTAGTCGGAGCATTCTATCTCTGAGAGTGTTAGAGGACCCCTAAACAACTGCTCTCTGCAGAAATCACAAGGGCTGGGACTCCAAGTGGGGCTCCAGGCCTTAGTGTTGGAGTAGGAAACCTTAGTGTTGGAGTAGTAGGTTGGAGCAGGACCCAAAGCCTGAAGTTCTAGCCCAGGAAGACTCGGGGAGCGCCTTAGCAGAATCACCTATCAACACATTTGCAGATTGCCAAGACTTCGCTCAGTTCCCACACAAGAATTGCAGAATCAGATAGTTCTATATTTAGATGTTTGAAGAAACTCCCTACTGTTCCCCACAATAGTTGCATTAATTTACATTCCACTAACAGTGTAGAGAGTTCCTCTTTCTCCCCATCCTCACCAGAATTTTTGTATATGTTTGATAATAGTCACTCCAACTGGGGTTAGATTGTTTCCATTGCAGGTATTTTTTTTAAGAGAGAGAGAGAAAAAAAGAGAGAGAGAGAGAGACAGAGAGAGAATTTTTTAATATCTATTTTTCAGTTTTCAGCAGACACAACATCTTTATTTTATTTTTTATATGGCAGGCATTTTTTAATAATTTTTTTTAGTTGTCAATGAGCCTTTATTTTATTTATTTATATGTGGTGCTGAGATTCAGACCCAGGACCTCCCACATGCCAGGCAAGCCTCTACCATTGAGCCACAACCCCAGCCCTCCATTGAAGTTTTTATTGGAATCTCAATTATAATTAGTGATGGCAAACATTTTTTAATTTATACGTCCCATTTCTTTCATCTCCAGATAGATATCCAGTGTTCCCAGCACCATTTTTTTGTAAATATAATTCTTTCTCTCATGTATGTTAACAACTTTGTTGAAATTAGTTGGATTTAAATTTATAAATTTATGTCTCAGCTCTCTATTCTGTTCACTGGTCTGTGCCCATGCCAGGACTATTTTATTACTATTGCTTTGTAGTATGTTTTGAAGACAAATATTGCTCTTTCTTCACCCTTATACTTCTTGCTTAGGGTTGTTTTCATTGTTTTGATCTTTAGTGCTTCCTCAACATCTTTAAGATTGCTTTCTTTACTTTTGTGAAGAATGTTATTGGTATTTTGATATAGAATTGCATTGAATCTATGGATTGTTTTGTGTAGATTGAACATTTTAACAATATTAATACTGCCAATCCATGAACATGGGCTATCTTTCCCTGTGTGTGTCTTCATCAATTTCTTTCACTAATGTTTTCTACTTATTGTATAAATCTCCTACCTCCTTGGTTTATTTTATTTTATTTTTATTATTATGTATTTTTAAAGAGCTGTTTGTAAATGAGATTGTTTTCCTTATTTCTATTTCAGCTAGTTCATTATTGTTGTATATAAATGCTGCTGATTTCTGTTGTTGACTTTGTAACCTTCGGGTTTCCTGGATTTATCAGTTCTCATTCTTTCCCAGTGACATCTTTCAGTTTTTCAAGCTAAAAGATCGTGAAGCTTGGATAGCAAGTACCAAAATATAGTTTTGTAAGGGGAATAACTTCTGGTGTTCTCTCACACAGTAAGTTCATTTTGGTTTTACAACATCTCATTATGTGCCTCATAAAGAACTAGGAAGAGAGGAGTTTGCAGCCTCCACACAAAAGGAAGTAGCACGTGTTTAAGGTGATAGAAAGGGTGATAATGCTGATTTTATTATTGCACACTGTGCACAATATCAAATTGTCACGATACCCCGTGAGTATGTATAATTATGTGAGAACTATAGGGATAAAAATCAGGTCACCTCAAATGGGACAACCTGACATTCTCCTGTCCAGTTTGGATGCCCTTATTATTGTAACTTCCAGAATTATGATGAAGAACAATGGTGAGAGTGAACACCCTCACCTTCTTCCACATCTTACAGGAAAAGCTTTCAACTTTTCCCCATTCACTAAGCTGTCGGCTGCGGGTTCATCATATGTAGCCTTTATTGTGTTGAGCTATGTTCCTCCTATGCCTAATTTGTTGAGAGTATTTTTCATCATGCAGGAAAGTTAAATTTTATCAAGTGCTCCTTTCTGTATCTTTTGAGATGATCATATAGTTTTTATCCTTCATTCATTTGATGTGATGTGTCATATTTATTGATTTGTGTATGTAGGATCATCATGTGAGAAAAATTGTGGGATATTACTCCTATTTGATCATGGTGTATAATCTTTTTTGATACACAGTACTCATTTTTTTTTTGAAAAGATACTAAATATGATTTCATTCTGCTTGAATTTTCTAAGTCTTGTCTTGTGGCCCAACACATGATGTCTCCTGGAGAGTGCCCCATGTGTGCTGGAGAACACATCTTGCCAATGGTGAAAGTGCTCTGTATATGTCTAATGGGTCCATTTACTCAAATTTGTGAAGTCTGGTGTTTTCCTAACTTTCTGTGCGGATTATGCAAAAGTGGTATATTAAAGTCCCTTACTATTGTGGCATGATCTCTGTCATTTCTGGAATCTATAAAAGCTTGATCTCATGAAAATGCAAAGCAGAAGGGGGGTTACTACAGGCTAGAAAGATAAGGGGGATTAACAGATGGAGGAGACTAGTCAATAGATACAAGATTACAGATAGTAGGAAAAAAATTATCATGTTCTATTGCACAGTAGGGTGACTATAGTTAGCCATAGTATGTTGTATGTTTCAATATGGCTGGTGGTGAGGACTGAATGCTCTCAGCACAAATGATAACAATTCAAGGCGTCGGATGTGCTAATTATTCAAATTTGCTCATTACACCTTATATGCAAGTCTACTCCAGAAAAACATACAATACTCCATAAATATGTACAATAATTATGTGTCAATTAAAAATACCACTCCTCCGTATTTATCCAAAAGAACTAAAATCAGCATATACCAATACAAATTTTTATAGCAGAACAATGCAGAATAACCAAGTTATGAAATCAGCTCAGGTGCCCATCAATAGACCACATGACAAAGAAAATGTGTTATATATACACAATGGAAATTTGCTCAGCCATAAAGAAGGATGCAATGAGGGCATTTTCTGGTGAATGGACAGGACTGACGGACATCATGCTAAGTGAAATAAGTCCTCCAGAGTCAGAAAGTCAGAGGTCAAATGATCTCTCTCATATGCAGACATAGATTGAAATAAGAAATGTTTTAAAAGGTGGGGGATTCCCATGAAAAACAGAAGGGAGGTCTGTAGAGCAGATGAAGGTATCAAGGGGGAAGGAGAGGAGATGAGAAAGGGAAGGAACTGAAGAATGAAATTGACCAAACTTTGCTATGGGCATGTACACCACAGTGAATCCCACTTCCATACATGCTTATAATGCACCAGTTTTTAAAAAACAATAAACTGATAGAAGGAAGACCAATAGAGTAGAAGGGATACCTCATTTTGTTGTGGGTGCATTATAAGCCTCATTCTCCCCCAACCTAGGATGCTGACATTTAAAGCAATGGCTCATCTCTTCATCTTGGGCTGCACCTGGTGTCTGGGTGTCCTACAGGTTGGCCCCATGGCCTCCTTCATGGCCTACCTCTTCACCATCATCAACAGCCTGCAGGGCATCTTCATCTTCCTGGTGTACTGCCTCCTCAGCCAACAGGTACCCCTGCCCAGCTCCCATCCATGCCTCCCCACGTGCACTCCTCTCTGTGAGCTGACCCAGAGTGTGGGTTGCCTCTGCAGGTCCGGGAGCAGTACAGGACATGGCTCAAGAGGATCAGGAAACAGACAACTGAGCCCGAGTCCTACACTTTGTCTAGCAAGGCTGTGTCCGATGCCTCCTGACCCAGCACGGTAAGGTCGCTCCCTCCTGCCAGAGCTCACGTTCCCTGGTTTTGGCAGGGTTTCTCTCCTCCTATCCACAGACCATGCTTCCCCTGGCTCCTGGACTCCACCATCTTGCCTCCCTGTGCACTGACCTTACATGATTCTGTCTCCCTCCCTCCCACCCACCTCCTTCCTGCTTATTATCATTTGTCCCCACCCTTATCTGAGTCTCCTAAAGACCCTGGTGATGACCTTAGGCTCACCTGGACAATCCAGGATGATTTTCTCATCTCAAGATGTTTAACATGCATGATCCCACTGATATGTGAAATGCAAACATTGATCTCATAGAAACAAAGTGTAGAACAGTGGTTCCCAGAGGCTGGGAGGAGGGGGTGGGAAAAGCTTGATCAGTGGGTACTAAGTTACAGTCAGGAGAAAGAAGCTCTGTGGTGTGTCGCACAGTAGGGCCACTAGACCACAAAGTGCACTGTGCCTTTCTAACAGCTCTGAGGGGCTGGGGGCCGCTCAGTGGGAGGGCTCTTGCCTGGTACGTGCAAGACCCCGGGCTCCATCCTAGCACCAAGTCTCTTTAAATTATAAAGGAATGATTTTAAGAGTTTTTACCACAAATAACTAATGCATGTTGGAGGAGATAGTTATGTTTAATCTGATGTAAACACTCACACTGTAGACAGGCAGGGAAACATCACATTATACCATTAGTATGTGCCATCTAAGTAGATTTAATGTAAAATTAGATTTTTTAATCTTTAACATACTCCTTCTTGAGAATTACCTTTTCCAGGCAGGGTAACACTCACAGGCTATGGGGTTAGGGTGTGGACATCTGTGGGGTCATTATTTTGTCTATCACACCAAGTACATAGGTTGGGTTTCTCTCTCATGGAGCTGTCAAAATCTGCACTGGTTGTAGATAAATGAATAGATTTACCACTCCTTCCCTCCTCCACAGCCCTAGGAATGATATACACATTGAAGAAAGGCAACGTCAACATTTTATATAGAAAATAAGAAACCATCAGATAGGGAACGAAGGCTTCTGAAATTCAGGTGATATGATCAGGCGTTTCTACCATCTTGGGCACTGGACTGTGAGGGTCCACTCTGTTGGTGGCCTGATGTCATTTTATCTTCCAGTGTCTCCTTTAATGGGGCATCTGCAGGGTTTCAGTTGCTGGAGTATCTTCCTCTCATTTTGGAAACCCTCCCTTGGCTCATTTCATAAAAACAAAACATTTTGTCTTGTAACCAGTTCTGAATAATTTTCTGAAGCACAGCATTCATAAGGCTCCAGTGAATCAGCCTCACTTCTTAGAAAGTCCAAAATCAGCAAAATGAAATCTCATGTGGCCTCTTGATCATGCCTTGATAAATCCATCAGGCAAGAAAATATTGTGATTGAAGTGTGTGTGTGTGAGTGTGTGTGAGTGTGTGTGTGTCTGTGTGTGTGTTTGCATGCAACATCATACCCCATAAAGGGATGATAATTATTTGTCAATTGAAATTTTTAAAAATTAGGAGCAGGATTGTTGCTAAGACCCTTCAGTGCTCATCCCTCAGGCAGAACGGCTTAACAAACTCATTGTGTATTTTGGGGGTGTGTCCCATGAATATACAGAAAATAAAATGGTTACTATAATAATGGAAATTAACTTACCCATCATCTCACATTCTTGTTTGTACGTGAGCAGCTGAAATCTCTTTATCTAACAAATATTTTCTTTCCTTTTTTAAATGGAAGCTGTGAGTTATTTTTCAATAATCTTATGTCATTTTAAAATAATTATCATTCCAGACTGATTAGAAAGATCATGGGAGCTACATCCTCCTTCCCCATGGAAAATCTGAACCGCCATTTTTAGTCATTAGGACAGGACAAAGACTTTTGTGCTGTGTGTTTCAAGATATTCATGGTGTTGGACACGTGAAGGGATTCTTGGAGGACATGATCGACATTCAATACCTGCAGAACCTGAAATCTGTCCATGCCCAACATGGTGCTGGGCAAACTCAACATCCAGATGCCATCTGCAGCCCAATTCCTCAGTTTCTCTGTTAAACGTTCTTATACTGCCCACCCTACCTATGAGGCCTCTTCCATGCAAACATTCTAGAAGCAAGAAAACCAGCCTCCCAGGATGCTCACATCAACAACATTCAAAAGGAATAGAACCTGCCTTAAACTTTTTGACAAAAAATAAAATATAAATAGAAAAAAAATTATAAAAATAAAATATTGTGGTGCCTACAAGAAAGAGACCTTGCTCTATGTGGGACATGGGATTCTGAGGATGTGGAAGGCTCCCCAGAATGCCATATTCCACTAAAGATCTTCCATAGTCATGTAGAGGCCAAATTGACAAGAAAATTGGTCCCCAGATAATTTCCTGACAGACATGTTAGTAAGTAAGAAGTAAAGAGTAGGAGACAAGACTAGGAAGACAGGGAGATGGGCCTGGGTCACTTCCTGGGCAGTGAGTACAAACAGCACCTACAGATATTTGTTAAGAAACTTACAAAAAGGCTATTTTTAAGTCAGGACCTATGTGACTCTGGTCCATGCCTCTCCAAAGAAGGAAAAAGGCCCGATGGACATCTTGATTGGACAAAAGGCTTCATGGACACCTCGTGGACACTGCATGAATATACTTTGTGACTTTTTCTACTTGTGCTAATTAATGCAAGTAATAGCTTCTTTGTCTTGTAGGGCTTCTACAGAACAAGCAGTTGTCATTTGGTATCAGGGTTAACATAGACTTGGAAAATTCCTTGGCACATTTATTTCCATGCGATTCCCAATAATTTATATGCATTGCAAATAGGTGAGATTTCAAAATTACTGATGATATTTCTGGGTGATGAATTGGGTGAGTCAATTTCTTCATTGATTGGTCCATTATACTTTTTAATTAAAAATTAACCAAGCCTATAGAAAATGTGGCTTCCTCATAATTAAGGGGAATTATACAGACCTGGCTTTTAACATTTTACCTAAATGGTGGTTATTACCAGGACATTTCAAAGTGAAGTTCAAAAGTCATTCCTAAGACACCTGAGATCAGGAAGGCTTCTGACCAGGTGCAGGGGAGTCCCCAGGTCCCGTCGGCTTTGGGGACTAAATTAGGTTTGGTGACTGGGATTTCCAGCCGGTGGTGGCAAGAAAAGGGAACTAGGGTCACTATGGAACCCCAATGTGACACACAGCAGAGGAGGGGCCACCAAGCCAATGCCTCCTAGAGCACTGGGTCCACGCCCCAGGCAGCCAGGGTCCTGAGGTGGCTGTGGACTTCCTCTAGCTGCCGCTTCTCCCCTGGGGACATTTACTTTACAGGGAACCAGAAAACCACACGGGGACTCCAGGATTTCTCCTCCAGGGACTTTCTGAGAAGCCAGGGATTCACTCGGTTCTCTCTGGGCTGTTCCTGTCCTTGTACCTGGTGACCATCTTTGGCCACCTGCTCATCATCCTGGCCACCATCTCAGACTCCCACCTGCACACGCCCATGTACTTCTTCCTGTCCATCCTGTCCTTTTCTGCCCTCTGCTTCACCTCCACCACCATCCCCAAGATGCTGGTGAACATCCAGACACAGAGCAAGGCCATCACCTACGCAGGCTGCATCACCCACATGTGCTTCTTCACTGTTTTTGCACTGCTGGACATGGGACTTCTTACTGTGATGGCCTATGACCGCTTCGTGGCCATCTGCCGGCCCCTGCACTACACGGTCCTCATGAGCCCCAATCTCTGTGCTCAGTTCTTCTCCTGAGCTGGCTCATCAGTGTGCTGGGAGCCCTTCCTGAGACCGTGAGTGGACTGAGGCTCTCCTTCTGCACAGACGTGGAAATCCCACACTATTTCTGTGAATTCCCTGAGGTCCTCAAGCTCGCCTGCTCATACCTTCATCAGTAGCGTCATATTGTACATAGTGACAGGCATAATGGGCTTTTCCCTCTTGCTGGGATCCTTTTCTCTTATTCTAAAATTGTGGCTTCTGTCCTGCGGATCTCCACAGCAGGAGGGATGTGCAAGTCCTTTTCCACCTGCGGTTCTCACCTCTCAGTTGTCTCCCTGTTCTATGGAGCCTGCCTGGGGGTCTACCTCAGCTCCTCAGGGACACGTGCCTCCTGATCAGGGGTGTTGGCCTCCACCCTGTACACCCTGGTCACCCCCATGGTGACCTTACAGGTTTTCAGTTTCTTCCAGTTTTTGAACAGGTTAATGAGCAAAACCAGCGTGTCTGCGTACACACTATCATTCCCTTTAAAACCTTAAAAAAATTAAAAAATGCTTGTCATACTTATGGCCCTAATTCGCCATTTATACAAAGCTTGCTCGACTCGGTTGGCCAAACACCTCTTCCACCCAATGACTGGGTGTCCATGGCCAGGACTTGTCTGTATGGCGGTGACTGCCTTCTCTGGGGGTCTTACTGGACCAATTTTTGTACCGAGCAGTTTGAGAGAAACAGGAGACAGAATCTTGAGACTCCTTTGGAGTTGTTGATGGGAACGGGTGAATTTGCAGATTTAGAGAGGCAGTTCAACTATGATTGGTGGTTTATGATCAGAATAATTCAAGTGCAGACAAGGCCTGGCAGCCAATTTCTTCCCAGGATCAGTAATCTAGTTTGACTAAGATAAATCGGGGCTCAGAAGAACCATTCTCCGACGTTGTAGTGTGCTTGTACCAAGCAGCTGACAGGTCCATCGGGGACTCAGGTGCTTGTGAGTTGGTTGGTAAGCAGCTAGCATTGGAGAACACAGGTGAGGCCTGCCAGGACATCCTCCTGCCTCATAGGGAAAAGGGGACCAATTCAGAATTTGTTTGCATTTTTGCAGATGTCGGCTGACCCAATGACAAGGTTTTGACAGTTACTGCAGCCCCAACCCCAACCCCAGGGACACCATCTCACGGATGTTGGTAAAGATGGTGCCCCCAGCGCTTCTGTTCCGGGAGCTTAGGTCTGTAATGTACTGAATGGAAGGAACTTTGAATGGCACGCGAGCCTTCACCTCCATTCCCTATGAATGGTACACCTCCAATCCCTGAAGTGGTGCAAACTCTCAACCAATAAAGAAGTAACACTCGCCCCCTGCTCCCCCTCACCCCTCTTTGAGCCCATAAATATCAACACCCTGTTCAATCTCTCTCTCTCTCTCTCTTTCTCTCTCTCTCTCTCTCTCTCTCTCTCTCTCTCTCTCTCTCTCTCCCCCCCTTCTCTTCTACGACTGGATGCTGTGGTCCCACCAATAAAATCTCAGGCAGGTAAATGGTTGTTTGGCTTGTTGAGTTTAGGGAGCTTTTCCACCCTTCCTACATTGGTGCCGAAACCCAGGATGTGGATCCCTGTTGCTAAAGGCAGAACCCTGTTGCCAAACTCCATGCCTGACCATTTCTGTCGCAGTCCACTCCTCTGATCGCCTGCCTGACATCCACCATCAGCCTGCGGATTGGTGAGTGTCGCCCTCCCATGAGCACCTGAACCGTAACTCACCAGAACCAGGGAATTGGCCCTTGAGTGTCCGGCAATCCCTCCAAGTGTCTTTGGGGGGAATAGCACCCCACTCAGACCCGTCAGGGTCGTGGTGGACCCCTGGCTCTCTGACACCCCTGGGAATCGACTGCCTGGGACGCAGGATGAATTCTCCCTTTGTGACTCCTCCATCTCCCCTCACTCTCGGCTCCTGTGGACGGGTTAGCGCAATTGCTGCAGCCCGTCTCACCCGAGTTCTGACTCCGTTCCTCCTGGAACTCCTTCCAACAGTCTCCTTCTGACTCTTCTGTTCCACTTGAAAAACTCTCCTGACATCAGGTTGCCCACGGCCTTGGCTCTATTTGGGTCTCACAGATTGCACTCCCCTGGTGGTGATGACCTGGCAGTGCCCTCTATTTCCCAGAGGCATTCGGCCATTTTGGTGATGCACACTTGACTCTCCCTGTTCTGGAGCCTCCAGGAAGCTATTCCCATCCCGAGTTCTCTCTCTCTCTCTCTCTCTCTCTCTCTCTCTCTCTCTCTCTCTCTCTTTCTCTAACTCCCATCTCGCCCTTCCAGCATGGGATATTCCTCATCTCTCCCAGCTGATTCTCCCTTGCGGGGCCTCTTAGATAATTTGAAAACCCTGATCCTGGCCCCTGATATTAAACCAAAAAGGCTCATAAAATACTGTACCCTGGACGGGCCTGCATACTCCCTGGACAACCAAAATGTTGGCCCACGTGTGGGTCTCTGGATCCCAATTTACACTGGGATCTTTTTAATTATGGTGAGTGATAAAGAATTGGAAGGAGATTCCCTACATGGAGGCTTTTTCCTGCTAGGATCTCACCCAAATCTCTGCACCCAATGCAAGCCTCAGCACCTACTCCTTGCTCTCAAACCCCCTTCCTTCTCTTCTCATCCACTCTCTGCCTCCACACCTCCCCTCTTCTTCCTCTTCTCTGCTGTCCACCTCCACTTTCCACCTGGCTGATGAACCCCTCCATACCACTCTCCCCCGCCCTCAGCCCTGCTCTCCCCACTTTCACCCCCTCCCACTTCCCCAGCCTCTACATCTGCAGCTTCTTCTTCTGCAGACACTCCTCCTCCTCCTCCTCCTCCTCCCAACACTCCCCCACAACCTCTTCCTAATTCTATTCCTTCCTCCTGGGTCTCTCCACTTCAGTTTACTCCACCCATCACCCGCTCATGCACTAATGCAGCACCTAACCCACAAGTCACCACATCTCATCACCCAACTCAAACTTCACAGGTTGTGGCCCCCCTTTGAGAGGTCTCCAGACCAGAAGGGATTTTAAGGGTTTGTGTTTCTTTTTCTATGCTTGACCTTTCTCAAGAAAAAAAAAATTGGGGGATCTTACACTGCACCCTGTCTCTTACATTAAAGAGTTCCAATACTTAGCCCAAGCCTACAGCCTCACCTTTCATGATCTCTCTATGATTCTCTCCAACACTCTCCTCCCTGAGGAAAGGAGAAGGGTCTGGGACCAGGCAAGGGCCGATGCAGACCAGGTTCATCAGACTGATGTCCACCATCCCCTAGGGGCCCAGGCGGTTTCAGACCAAGACCCCCGTTGGGACTATAATGACCCCCAAGACCTGGGATGCAGGGACCACCTTATTACCTGTCTGATGGCTGGCCTAAAGGTGGTGGCACAAAAGGCTATTAACTTTGACAAACTCCAAGAAGTTATCCAGGAGAAGAATGAAAACCCCTCAGCCTTCCTAGACTGACTAACAAGGCTCTCCTTCAGTGCACTAACTAGAACCCTGAATCCCCGGATGGGAAGCAACTTCTTATGACCTGTTTTTTCTCAAAAAGCTACCCTGAAATATGGGCAAAGCTAAAAACAATTAGAGAGGGTCCCTTGACTCCTCAGACAGAGGTGCTGGACATGGACTTCAAGGATTACCACCACAGAGATGAAAAAGCAAAACTCTCAAAAATGCCAGATGTTGGCCCAGGTGTCACAGGGCTCCTTCCAACCTATGGAAAGGGGGACACAACAACCCCCACAATGAGGACCCCCTGGGCCCTGCTTTAAGTGTGGTAATGAAGGACACTGGGCTACGGCTTGCCCTAACCCCAGGGCACTGCCCAGACCATGCCCCAGATGCCGACGTCCTGGCCACTTGGGATAGGACTGCCCCAATTCCCAGAAGGGAGCTGAAGTCAGTTCCTCACCAGTGACTTGCTGGGCCTAGCAGCCAAGGATTGACGGGGCCCTGGGTCTTCTGTCCCGACCTATTCAATCACCAGGCAGGAACCCAGGGTGGTTTATCTGAGTGGATGGGCGTCCCATTAACTTTTTGGTAGACACCAGGGCCACAGTCTCAGTTATGAGAGAGTTTTGAGGAACCACCTATCTCCCCAAATCTCCGATTGTCGGGGTAGGGGGTCAAATCATCATCCCATGCAGAACTCCTCACCTTCTCCTTTTCACACCATTTTTAGGTTATGCCTCAGTGTCTGGTCCCCTAGCTGGGAAGGGATATATTATCCATCTTGAAGGCCTCCAAAACCTTACCCTTATTGTCCCCCCTACTCATATCTTTGTCATGGCTTTACTCCCTGATGAAGAAGAGACTTTACCTCTTTGTGTCTGGTGTAAAGACCCCAACGACCACCAGAACACAGAATTTCCCCTCTCCTGTGAAAGAGTATATCCAATTGTATGAGACACTGAAACCACATCCTTGGCAAATTGCTCTCCCATGGAAGTGCATCTTAAAGACCCTAACCACTTCCCAAACCAGGCCCAATACCCACTGCCACTCTTAAGGGCCTAAAGCCAATCATTCAAAGCTTATTAAGAAACGGTTCCTCCATCCCACACACTCTCCATTCAATACCCCAATTTGAGCAGTAAAAAAGCCTAACAGAACATACTATTTGGAGCAGGAATTAAGACTAATAAATTGTTCAACCAGCCCTATACATCACCTGGTTCCAAACCCTTCTACTATCCTTTCCTCCATTCCTGCAAACTCCATCTGTTTTTCAGTTACTGGTCTTAAAGATGCCTTCTTTTCTATTCCACTATCTGTCTCTTCTCAAGACATATTTGCCTTCACCTGGACTGATCCAGAAACTAGGCATTCCGACAGACAACCTGGACTGTCCTGCCCCAGGGGTTTCGAGACAGCCACCTATTTTTGGACAAGTCCTCGCTGGAGATCATGAGGATTTTTTCCCTCTATGCCCCAAATCAACCCTCCTACAATATGTTGATGACCTCCTCCTCTGAAGTCCCTCATTAAAAACCTCAAAGTCTGTCACAGCCTGAACTTTCTTGCTCACAGAGGATATAGGGTTTCTCCACAAAAGGGGCAGCTCTCTCTCTCTCTCTCTCTCTCTCTCTCTCTCTCCCTCTCTCTCATTGTTTACTTAGGGTTCCACATTTCCCCAGGGAAGAAAGCTATCACAACTGATAGAAAAGGTCACACTGCAGCTGAGCGACATATGTCTTTCACAGCAACAGGCCCTTTAGGCCAAGTTTGGGGGAAGGACTTACAGACTGGTCAGTGGAAAGGACCAGATCCAGTGATTATGTGGGACAGAGGTCATGCTTGTATTTTTCCAGAAGGTGCTTCTCGTCCTATTTGGGTACCTGAAGGCACCATCAGGTGTGGAGGGACCTAAGGAAATTGACTTTACCAGCCACACAAATGATTCAACTGCAAGGGAGAGCTAAAACTCCAGTGATGAGGCTTGCTGCAGGAATAGCCCTGTTGGGCTGCCAGGTAAAAGGGAATCAGGGAGAAACCTACTGGACCTGTTTTCCAGATCCACCTCTGG